GACAGCTGCATTGCATGAGTCAGGTCTATGCAGGAGGCAGGAGGAGTGATCCGCATGCAAGAGGCCCGCACCTCCGTCTCATTTGAATAGGCTGAGTAATGCTGATAGTGAGTCAGGCGAAAAGGCAAAGTCTGGTATCGAGTTCACGGCAATGTGGTGTGCATGAACTGTGTTGAGTGGCTAAATTCGGAAGCGAAATCTCTCTTCGTCTTGAACTCCGTTTCGATCTCGCAGACAGTGTATGCATGAAGTCGGGCTGAGACGCTCTACGCGATAGGCTTAGACCGGCCGGCAAGCCTCTCCAGCATTCACTTTCACAACAATTGAAAGTCGCCACAACGAAGTCATCTCAATGGTACCAAATAGGAAATCATTTTACTAACTAGGCAGTGTTACTTTGGCATAAAAAAAGGCAAAGAAGAAGCCTTCAGGAAATGTTTGGTCCTCTTGAGCTTTGGCTGATGTGATCAAAGTGCTATCAGGCAAGGTCGAATTGAGATTCGTCTTGGATGGGGAGACTGGGTTGTGATGATAATTTGGGCGAAACTAAAGAATGAACTACCGACTTCTATTCAATCAAGCATTAGCTACTCGAATATCAGTAAGTGAAAAGCTGTATGATCATTGGGGATGAACCGCTATTGGTAGATTTGCACTTGCTCAGACCTGCAATACTACTCATAAATGATTGCATTTTCGGTTGTCATCATCATTTCAATCAACTTCTTGACATTCCATAGTGTTTCGTTTTTCCCGCTCAACTTAGCTTCCTGCGTAAGCTCAAAGTGTGCGTTGTGGGTGCCGAAGACGAACGATTCGGTATTCGCCACATCAAGAGAGCTTTTCGCATGCCTGAAGAGGAAAAATCACCTTCCGGGCTATGCTGAGGGTGAAGAAAAGTTGGTCTTCAAGATAAGTAATCCACTTTGTGTTTAAGAGTTGTCCTGACTACCAATTCGGGCCTCGATAAAATAAAGTTGGAGATCACGAATCATACCAAATCAACTTTCTCCATGACGCAATGCTGTATCCGACCTATCGAAGGGATGTTGAAGTTAATCTGATATAGCTTGACTTATCTTAACGAAATAGGGTATATGAGCAAAGTTTCGAGACTACCAGTAAATCAGTAATATGAGATGTATCCACCCATTTTCGTTTAAGGTAGAAGAAGAATTTTCCCACAATCATGTGAGTAGAGCTGACGTCTCCATTGAATTTCACATAACCTCATCTCGGTCTTATCAATGCCCCCAGCAGGAGTCGAACCGTGACAATGAGGCATGTGAGTTTGACACATTAACCACTTGGCCACATTGCCACGAGTACCCTTGGGTCAGAGGGCAGATTGAATTTCAAGGAAGACCAGGTCTTTTCCCATATCACATTCTTTGGTGGGACTGTCGATGAAGCAAACGTATTTTTGCTATAACAATCGACTATGCTACTTATTTTTCGCACGCAAGTAGAGTTTCAAAACTAACAGTAAATCAGTCAAAGGAGATTTAGTCGGATTAGGCGAGGTCTAAACTGCAGTCCACTGGTGGCTGGATGAGAACAACTTTTGGGAAAGCAAGGCTCTGTGAAATTGAATGAAAACGTCTGCTCTACTCATATCATTGTGGGTAAATTCTACTACAAGT